GGGGGGACACGGGGGAGGGGGGTGGACCAGTGGCCTGGTTTGCTGGTTTATAAATAGGAGGTTCAGACAGTTGAACCTGAGGAATGGAGTCACAGACCGACACAGCTGACGGTCAGTGGTGTCTGTCTCTGTCTGTGGGTCCAGTTACAGACGGTCTCCTTTGTCCGACCTGTCGATCGGACACGAGGAGACGTGACCGTGTTGGACGGACGGAACAACGCGGTCACATGTGTTTTTTTTTTTTAAACCTCCAGAGAAATCGCTACACTTTGTTAGCGCTAACGTTTAGCTACATTTTCATGCTAACTGATGACTTATTTAATCTTACTATAAAATTAGAACGTTTTAAATGTCTTACAATTTGGACCAACAACAAAAGTCAACGTGTTGATATGACGTCATTCCCTATTGTACCGAAAATGTTGGTAAAGAAAAAAAAATACGTGTTTTATTGAAAACACCACATCGTGTATGTAAAAAAAAACAACAAAAAAACATCGTAATTTACAGAAAAAAATTCTAAAGTTTAAAGTAACTAATAGCTGTAAATAAATAAACAAACAAAAATAAATAAAATAGAATCTGCAGTGAAAATAAATCAGACGTCACTCATTTTGTTTGTCTTCGCTCGTGGCTGTAAACACAAACCGTAACTTCCGGTTTTGTTCTTTCGAAATAAAATCACAACGACGACGTATCAAAATGTCGAACATGTATATTTGGAAAAGTAAATGTAAAAAAATATATATATATATATTTAACAGAACGACAAACAACAAAACAGCAAAGAGTGAAAATAATAATAATTTAGCGGCGGCTCATTCGTGACGTAGTTACGCTTGTGTTTTTACTGTAAACACCGCGGTAACATGATGCTAAGCTAACGCTAAAAAATAAAACACCGTTTCTTTTTTTTAAAAAACAACAACTTTGTAACAACAGTACAGACAAGATATAACAGACATGTCGGACCCAAAGGCAGTGACGTCACCTGAGTTCCATTTTAACCTCCGTCTGTCGGTGTTGTCGTCCCGGTGCACCGCCCCAACCCCTCCACTTCACCACCATGCTGTCACATAAACTAACCGTTAATCCGTCCGTGTAGGAACAAACGAACAAACAGACAACAACAACAGACAACAACAACCGACTCACCGAGGCTCTGACCACAGCTGACCACATGTTGTCGCAGCAGAGGGGCGGCTACAGTCTGTGAGTTTCCCGGGAACACGGAGCCGGTCCTCGGCCTCAAGGACGTCTCCTCTCGGTGTCCGCCCCCTTTGGAGCCCGGCGAGCTGAGACAAGTGGGTCTGGGGCGGCCTGTAGTCAAAGGCTGGTCCGCGGACCACTCGTGGTCCTCGAGCGCCCTCTAGTGGCCCATTTAAATATTTGGTAAAAAAAATTAAATAATTTATTTTTTTTTATAGTTTTTGACGTATTTGTTGTTGTTTTGTTTTAAATAAAAATATGCTAAATAATAATAATAATAATAATAATAAT